TGGATATCCCTTAGGTATATTTGTTTATATTTTGTAATCCACCTTGAGTCTCAGCAAGAAAAGCAGAGATAAAGTAAATAAATAAATCAGCTGAGTATGAATCACAGTTTACAAATGATATATAATCAACAGGGAATATTAACACTAAATATTTATGGTTCATATTTTAAAAAACAACAAGAGCATTGCTATACCTATTGTGCCAACAGCTAACTTCTGTCATTTAAATAGCCACTGTATGCCTGCATTACTATTGAATCAATGTAAATCAACTGCAACTATGGGACATAAGAAAACTAGGACCTACTTATAAATAACTGGAAGAATGGAGGTTTGGTTAAGGCAAATTAAATATCTCTGAACACAATTCAGCTGTCACTAAGCACACATAATTAGTCCTGAGTATGCAGGGCCAGCTCACTCACTAGCTGAAGTAGGCAATCGCCCTTAGGGGTGCCAAACTGCACCCGGCCCCGTACTCTGGGAGTTTCTTGATTATTTGTGATTTTCATTCTTCGTAAAATGCATTTATTTTTGAAAATTGGTGGGCGCACGGGGAGGGGGGTGCCAGAAGGGATCCCCGCCTAGGGTTCAAAATAAGCTGGGGCCCTGTGAGTATGCTAGAACCCTTCTCTTGCGCCCAGTTTTTGGCTGTTTGGTTAGACAGTGGGGGGAAGGGTTTGGGGGGGTGTTCTGTATTTTTGCATTTTGTGTGTGTGTGTGCTCTTGCCTAGAAGTCATGGCCACCTCTGGCGACTCCTAGTGGGACATGGAGGACATTCAGAGAAGTGGCTTGATAGGCTGCCTCTGGCCTCCCAGCCCTGGTATTCTCTGGAGGTCTCCCATCCAAAGACTTGCCAGGGTCAGCCCTGCTTAGCTTCCAAGATCTGACGAGATCAGGCTTGCCTGGGCTATCCAGGTCAGGGCAGTAAGGGTTTTGTTTGCTTGTTTTCACAAATTCACAATATAATGGTGTGTGTCAGCATGATTCTAATTCACTTTAGTTAATTATGTTAATCTTTATCAATTAGTCCACGAAAAAATGTGCATGCACTACAATGGAAATAGATTCAGGTGGGTAGCTGTGTTGGTCTGAAGCCGCTGAACAAAGTTTGAGTCCAGTGGGACCTTTAAGACCAACCATAATAAATAAATAAATAAAAATAATGTCCTAAAACTTTGTTGGGCTTAAAGGTGCCACTAGACTCAAACTTTGTTCTACAATGGAAGTAGTCTCACACTTCCCTTTACCTTTCCTCTGTTTGCTTTGTGTTGGTGACTCTTGACAGCCATTTCCAGGACAGCCACCCCCCCACCCCGCAATCTCCCCTGCTTTTTGCATGCGTACCTCAGAACAGAACTGCTTGCTATCTGCCCTCGGAATAAGCCAGTGCTCACTTACATGTATTCATAACTGAAAATTATGTGCATTAAAACGTTCTCTTCCCATTGTGAAACAGTGAAGCTCAACTTTAAAAACAAAATTAATTTAGCTGGATATTAACAGAACAAGTCAGGCCAGTTTCAAACCAGGATTTTTTCAGTCCAGAGGTGAGGGAGACCTGGGCGCAAGATTGAGAGTCTAGATGTCTGGCCAGATAGCAGCTGTGATGCTTCCTAAGTCAAAATACTAAGCAGACATGAGAGACCAGAACAGACTCTTGCTTTTCAGCCCTTCCCAAGAAGAGGAAGACACATAAAGCACAGTCACAATAAAAAGACAAGTGAAGGTGACAAACTTCTCAATTTTCTTTTCCAAAAATGGAAATATGTAGGAATATAAAAGAGGACTAATTAAATACCAAACTTTGAATTCCACAAATCACTCTGGAGGAAATATGGGAGATCCTGTTAGAACAAATTACAGTGTTTTGCAGAATTGTCTCTAAACTTAGTTGCACTAGTCAGATCTTTATCATGGTCTTATAAAATGGGAGCATCATTAACTCTGGTATGTTTACAGGATTAAAGCGAGAATGGAACTTACAACAGCCTAGTAATCATCCCTTTTCATTTACATGTCCTTCCTTTTAACACACTTAGCTTCAACCCAGCCCATCTCAGAAAACTTTATGACCTTGAGGCTAGACCACTATACCACATTCTGTGTTGGGCTTCCCTTGATAACAGTCTGAAAATATAGCTGGTGCAAAAAGCTGTGACTCATTTCCTTGCTGGAACAGGTCACAGAGAATGCATTACATCAGTGCTCTAGCATGGTACCAGCTTTGTTATAATCCTGGTACAATTCAACATGCTGGCTTTGACCTATAAAGTCTTTAGGCTTGATTCCTACCCACTGAAATCTTGAGCCCCACATCCTATAGATACTGACTTCTCACCTATATGCCATCACAGCTGTTAAGACTACCATCTAGTCTGGTTGGTTTTAATTTTTAATCCACTACTATCCAGTCCACTAAGCATAATTAAATTTTGGGTTTTATGTTTTTTATGTGTTTTATCAGCCTCCTTGAGCTCCGTAAAGAAGAAAAAATGGCTAATAAATGTTTTAAATAAATTACTGAATCCCTCCTCGACATGCTGCAAGTAAAAAATCAGGACGTAAGATCGGCACTCCAGAAACTCAACTTCATATAGGTATATTTATTATGTATGTATACGATATGATATATCTCAGGCATGCATTCAGTGACACCCTTGTAAGCTGATGGCCATCAGCCTACCACTCCTTAATGACAGGTTTGATTCCTGTTTGCTGTGTGCCCCTTTTAAAGGCCTTGTGGAGAAATCTAAGATCCCAGGTTTAGTTGTCAGGGCAGGATGAGCAGTATTTCTTCTGCTTTATGATACAGTCATGGCTTAGACAGAGGTTTTTGTTTGTCTGTATTGTTTTCCAGTTATGTAATCCTAGTCCTATTGCATTGTTTATTGGATGTCTCATGCTCTCTGACTGAAGTTCTTTTATAAAAATATTTTGTAACCCACCTTGTGTCTCAGTGAGAAAGCCAAGTTATAAACAAACAAACAACTATTCTCTTTTGGCTGACAAAAGCTATTTTGTGTGTGTGGGGGAAAGACTCCTTAAAACCCTAAATGACCCCAGTAGTTCTGAATGCCCCCCAGATTGGTAGAATATTCCTCTTAAGAATCACTGATTCAGACTGTCTCAAGTAGAAGAGTACCCAGAGATATATCTTGGTGACTACTCAACAATTTGTGGAACTGCCTTTCCCCAGTGATTCATCAAAGTCTACGCCTTTATACTTTCCAGAAGAGCTGTAAAACTTTCCTTTTTGGTCTGGCATTCAATGATTAGGATGATGCTAGTGTGGGTAACTTTCATTAAGCAGTAGAAAAGAGCAAGAGTCCGGTAGCACCTTAAAGACTAACAAAATTTGTGGTAGGGTATGAGCTTTTGTGAATCACTGCTCACTTCTGAATGTTTGTTGATCACTTCTGAAGTGAAGAAGTGAGCAGTGACTCAGGAAAGCTCATCCCCTGCCACAAATTTTGTTAGTCTTTAAGGTTCTAGTGGACTCTTACTCTTTTCTACTGCTACAGACAAACACAGCTACCCATCTTCCTTTAATTAAACAAGTATTTTATATGTAGTGTGTGAGTTTTGTTTAACTATTGTTACCTACCCTGAATGCTGCAAGAAAGATGGGATAGAATATAAATACATACATCTGTACCAATCTATCTACAATTATCACAATGTTTGTATATTCCAAACATAACATGAAAGAATCCAAAATCAGTGCAGGGAAACGCTATTTGACATGTGCTGTAACGATGAATGAATGACATAATAATGTGTAGAAAAGATCAAGAGTCCAGTAGCACCTTAAAGACTAACAAAATATGTGGCAGGGGATGAGCTTTTGTGAGTCAGTGCTCACTTCGTCAGATAACTGAAGAAGTGGTATCTGAAGAAGTGAGCAGTGACTCAGGAAAGCTCATCCGCTGCCACATATATTGGTAGTCTTTAAGGTACTACTGGATTCTTGCTCTTTTCTACTGCTACAGACAGACTAACACAGCTACCCATCTTGTACAATATGTGTATGCTGAATTCCAAGATACACGTAATTTTAGGATTGCACGCCAGCTCCTCCTCTCAAATATATTGTGCTCTCTCTCTCTCTCTCTACAACAATATTTTATGACAAACTGGTCCCTTCATCCAAAATACAGGCACTCTAGAAAGCATCTTCCATCGTATCCATTGTTGATTTATTTGTCAAAAGTGTCAAACTAAACTCATTTAAGCTGTATTTGAGCACTAGGGTTTGTGGCTCAAGCTGCATGACAAGCAGAAGAAGAAGAGATTGGATTTATATCCCGCCCTTCACTACCCAAAGGTGTCTCAGAACGGCTTACAAAGTCCTTTCCCTTCCCCTCCCCACAACAGATACCCTGTGAGGTAGGTGGGGCTGAGTGAGCTCTGACAGAAACTGCTCTTTTTCAAGAACAGTTGTGCCAGAACTATGGCTTGCCCAAGGTCACCCAGCAAGAGCAAGTGGAGGAGTGGGGAATCAAACCCTGTTCTCCCAGATTAGAATCCGCGCAATTAACCACTACACCAAACAGAAGGTCAACAGATGCAGCTTTTCCCAGCCTGGAAATTGAATATACTCCACCTCCTGATTTTCTGCTTCTTATGGTGCAAACCTTAGCTTGAGCTATACTGGTATTTGAAATAAGGACTGTTCTTTAAAATAAAAGTGTATTAAAAACAATATTATGAGCATTTTTGTCTTTGCATTCCCAGTCATTCTCTCTTTACTCCAGAACTCTATTTCTTAATATAGAATGACAGATCCACAGTGAAGTAGTCGTCTTGGTGAGCCTCAGAATCAACAGGAAAACGTTTAAGTGTGCGGGTCTCTTTAAAATTGGTGCCCAGCACCAAGATGGCAGCTTCCTTTCACTTCTCTCTGCCTATGCCCTTCACTAAGATGGGGAGGGAAGGGAAAGAATGATGTCATCGCATGACTGTGTTTTTATGAATGAAAAGAATCCTGTGAGTGAGTAATTCCAGGAAACTCATATTACAACTCAGCAGCTCACAGCGCAGAGCTCCGCTCAGCCCTTCTCCTCGGACAACAACAACCTTCATTTACAGAAGCAAACAAGGTGATTCGAAAGCAGAAGCAGCAAGGAAAAAAGAGGGAGGAAGGCCTCTCTGAAGGCGGAAAGCAGGAGAGAAGGAGCAGGGCAGCAAACAAAGACGGATTTCTGTGAAGTAAGTGGAGGATCGCCTCGGAACTCTGTAGTAGTCGGGGAAACTTCACAGACGTCAGAGAGCCGAGGCCAGGCTGCGTTTGCTTTGGGGTGCTCGCGGGTCTTTCCGGAGGGGGCTTTTTCGTGCCCACCCCACCGGGTGAGGAGCCGGAGAACCTGGAAAGGGCACAAACCCCAGTATTTGTGGCTCTCGTGACGACGAGGCGGTGCGTCGCGCGAGGAGTGTCTGATGTTTGTTGATCGCTTTCAGGGTAAGGCTACGTGGTTGTCGTCGTCTTCGTTTCAATGTTAATTTTCCTTCCCCTGTGGGGTGGGGTGAGCTGCGTGGTGGTGGGGCAGGGGACCTTCCCCCGAGATCCCCGCGTTATGGGCCGCCTTTCGCCTTCGGTCTCTCCACGCACATCGGCACTTGCCAGGGAGCCGGAGACAGCTGCCCAAGGCAGGAAACCGCTCAATAACACAGGAGTTACTCATGGCACATATTAACCATGTGTGTGCACGTGCTGCGGCCTTGGTCACATGCGGCGACCCCTTCACACAGGCAGGGAGGCGAGCGGTGATTTGAGGGGCGATGGCGGGGTCGGTTTAAAGCGGACGAGGGTCCCGGTAGGTCCCACGTTTACTTGCCCCCCTCCTCCCGCCGCCGCCGCCGCCCCATGTGATTGTTCGTTTGCAGGAAGAATGTTGTTTTGGCTTGAGAGGTATTCGTGGGGCGAAGGGGGGGATTCCAAAACGGGGGCTGAAGCTTGATGACGGAGGGCGAACTGGTCCACGAGCTTGAAACGGTGGGGTGGGGTGGGGGGACGACGACAAAATCCCCCAAACTTGGCAGGAGAGCTCTCAGAGCAAAGCCTTTTAAAATAAGAGACAACTCTGGAGTTTTGCTAGGGGACGCGTCCTCCGGAAGAAGTGCCGGGAGGATGGGGAAGGCATCTGTGGTGGCTGTCGAGAGAGGCGCCGGCCGATCCTGATTGTTTAGTTGTGTAACTGTGTGGTTTGCTGGCTTCCTTCGGTCACTGGTGAGGTGTTTGCTCTCCAGTGCACCTGTTACCTTCTTGCCGAAATCTTTGGGCCCTCTTATGGGTCTGTGGGTGGGCCCTAGCGTGTGGAATGTGTTACTGTTGGGGCAAGAGTCGGACTAGCGGGATTTTTAAAAAAATTCTTTCCAGGTTTTTGAGAAGGCTTCCATTTTGTTAGAGTTTCTGAACCGTAGGAAAAGGGACCTTCGTATTAAAGTGAGACCTAGATTAAATGGATAGGAACCAATTCTGTATAATTTGTTTCTCTTCGGGCATTTTGTGTCTTGGATTTTTAATTCCCATTTTGTAGTGTTACTTTGTGCTGTAAGAAAATCTGGGGGGTTCCCCACACCACTGGGAGGGCTGCATTTCACCTATATGGCTGGTGGATTTTGTATATGTAATGTAATTGATGACTAGCTTGAGGGGAGGGGTGAGAACTGTAGGCAACAGGTGCCACGGCAATTGATATTGCCTAATGGATACCAATCTTATGAAAGCTACCTAATCCAAGGGGCAGGAAGTAAACCAACCCCTCCCCCCAAAACCCTATGTGAAAAGCCCAATCTCTCAAAAATACTACTATGTCCACATAGTAGCAAGACATAAAGAATGTTATGAACTCCTCTTAAACTGATCTACCACAACTCCATGATTGTATATACTGAATAGGAAGTTGTTTTTTCAACATGTTATAGGGCAGGTCAAATGTCTATCTATAGAGAGCTTTCAGTAGCCTGGCAAACCTGTAAATGGATGTTTGACAAAGATACATACTCAAGCGCGCAATTAGGTTTTGTGGTTTTCACATAAACTTTTGCCACACAGATTCTGTCTTCTGGGGGACAGGCTTTGCCCTGTAGAAACTCTCTCTGGTGCATGTTTACGACTTCGAAGGAATGTAATTCTATAATGAGGGATCTGCTTCACCGTCTGGTTATTACTCTGATTTAGAATTTTAAAACCCTTCGTTTAAGCTGACACTTGGTAACTGCTTCCATACACCCCAAATAAACCTGGATCTCATTATTTTTGGAGATCTACGTGCTTTGCTGCAAGTACGTTGTCAAGTTGTGGCTGGAGGAAAGAGAAGGGGAGAGTACAAAGGGGAAGGTAGAAATCACTGGTGACTTTGTTGCCAATATTCCCATCAATGGGTACAGGGGATTTGCATCCATATTCCATAAGGACAGAATACATTCTAGGCCCCAGTCACACGGCAGAGTTGCCGCGGGAGAGGCATGGATGGTGGGCGGATTATCCGGACGTGATCACACCCCAACATCTGGGAAGTGGAGCGCACCCGTGGCTTACCACCGACAACGTGCATTAAAAAACTAGTACCTCCAAGGTACTAGTAAACATTAGCCACGGGCTGCCTCCAGACGCCCGTGGTGTGATCATGCCGGCGTGCGACATTCCCCTCCGGTCCCTCGTTTACCCGCCGGCGCTGAGGGAAGAACCCGTGGTGTGCCGCCGCACATCTGATCGCGTAATCGCAGATCAAACTGCGCCGGGGCAATTAGCCACGCCTCCCCCCCCCCGCGATAACCGGCCCGTGTGACCGGGGCCCTAGTGAGGAAGCCATTATGGGCTCTGTCATATTTGAATGTTTAGATACTTGGTTTATTAAACTACCACATTCTTTTGGTTTGCGTAACTTGTCAGCCCTTGACAGCTTCTGTGACAATGACACTGTTCTTATTATTGTTCTGAAGACCAGCTATTGGTGTTTTTTACCTTAATATGAACAAGGACAGAAAGAAAGAGAGAACTGGAAGACCCCCTCCACATTTGATACTTTCAACACTCTGAGGTAGTTTAGGCCAAGCAAGAATGACTGGCTTAAGATCACCCAGTGAGCTTCATAGCTAAATCAGGATTTAAATCTGGGTCTTCCTGGTTTTAACAATCTAAAGTTGGAAGCAGCCTCATTGCATTCAGTTCAAATGTGCCTATACATCTCCATTGTCGAGCTCAGGGCAATGGTAGTTGCAAGTTGTTAAGTAGAAGTCCGTTGTGCGTATTGCTAATTGGCTGGATTTCTCCAATGTCACCCTTCAACCCTTGGAGTTGTTTTGTGCTTAAAAACACTCTCTTTTCTATGCCATGAACTGACAAATGAATACTCATGTGTTGCTTTAAGAAGTGAACCAGTGGACCATCCATTTGAAGGCTGGGAAGGTGCAAGACTGACAACTGAGTCAGCACTCCATTCTTTAGAATGCACCCTTGTTAATTCAGTTATGAAGCTGGGAGGAAGACCTTTTTGATACTGCAACTGTTTTTACCCTGTGCACCTCTATCACTTTCATGTGGCTTCTCTCCCATTTTGCAGGAGTTGTCTTTGAATTCAGATGACTGAATTAGGAGATAAATGAAGGATAAGAAAATCCCCCCCCCAAAAAAAGCCCTTGTTATTAATCACCACAGTTCCTGAAATTCCTTTCTCAGACTCAGTTATCCCATTTGGCTGCTGAGAACATGCCCTGGTCTGTCATCCCACCTTTAATATTGAAAATCCTCTCTACTCACCACCCTTATGAGGCTTCTAAGTGTCATGGACTGCACTAGGTAGTATCAGTTGGGTGTTGAGGGGCGCTTTCTTTTTTCAAATGCTCATCTGTGTCTTCTGTCCACCCATATCCCCATTTATTATAAATCTTTGGTTTTTATTTTTTAAAGATTTGTGTTAAAAGCCTTTACTAAGGCCTTTAGCTAAAATGCCTTTAGCTAAAATGCTCCTCCTGAAACTGAAGCTAGGTATGAGTAACTCTCATTCCTTCTGTCTTAGGCTTGCTGTCCCATCTCTCTGTTGCCTCCATATTTTGTTGAAATCTAGACAGTAAGCTCCTCAGGGCAGGGACCAGCCCTTTTGCGTATGTTACTCTTTGAAGCGCCATTCACATTGATAGTGCTGGCACTGATTTTTTTTTAAAAACCACACAGGTGATAATCTGAGTTTAGAAATAGCTTTGAACTGCCTTTGGTGTAGTGGTTAAGCCAGTATGGTGTAGTGGTTAAGTGTGCGGATTCTAATCTGGGAGAACCGGGTTTGGTTCCCCACTCCTCCACTTGCAGCTGCTGGATGACTTTGGGCAAGCCATAGTTCTGCACAGCTGTTCTCTCAAGGACAGTTCTAGAAAGAGCTCTTTCAGCCCCACCTACCTCATAGGGTGTCTGTTGTGGGGAGGGGAAGGGAAAGGAGTTTGTAAGCCACTCTGAGTGAAGGGTGGGGTTTAATCCAATCTCTTCTTCTTCTTTGGTGTGAACTCCCGTGATACAAGAAGTTGTCGTATCTTGCTAAACATGGATTTGCAGAGCAATCCTAAATGGAGTTGTACTCTGCTAAGTCCGCTGGCTTCAATGGAATTAGAAGGGTAAAGCTCTGTTTAGAATAATGCTGTTTTGTGGGGAATCCACCTTGTTTATATGTGCTTAGAAAAGCACAATTTATAGTCTCCAAGAGAATTGTTTTGAACATTTGATACCATGTGCCAGAATATATAATTATACACATGCTTACAAATATGTCCTTCCTTTGCTTTTAGAATAGCACACGCAGCACAGAGTAACATCTGCCAGCTCTGAAGTAACAACTCTCTCTGAGATAATTAAACTTCATTAAATGTTACATGCCGGATCCTTAACTAGTGCATATTTTTACTTAAATTATTTGATTAATATTAATTTATGCCACTGGAAGAACTTTCTCAGAAACTAATTTTAAAACAGTTTAATAGGGTGACCATCCCCCAAGCCGCTGCTGCTCTAGGATTTTAATTGGCAGATTTAAGTTAAAAGACAGAAAGATTTGCCTAGAAAGTCTTTACCTGGACTATGGTAGACATGATGAACCAAACCTTGAATGGAATTCCTGTTCAGTTTAGAGGGAATCAATTTAGATTCCCTCCCCATTACAGGAATTTTATGGATCATTTATGCCAGTAAGGCACAAGATAGCTGAGCGCTCGAAGTTCCA